GCAGAAGGAAGCGTGCATCTACTCATGGACAGGAAGCTTGTGCTTGGGACAGGGTGAGAAGCATCCTCTGCAGCTGAGCTGTAATCACTGTAAACTGTTGTGTTAGGTGAGGCTAGCAGTAAATGCAGTTACATACAAACTTTGCTTGAAAAGGCATTTAATCCTCTTGACAAACATACATATATAGAGTGGATGTGAAACTCCAGATCAAACCTTTTAATACAACAGCAGTCACATCTCTACATTTACTAGAGGAGTGTCTCACACAATGGTATTTAATTTGGTCCTATTGGGTTTGTCAAAGCCTAAAATATAGAATAAAAATTCAAAAACAGTATCAAAAAACAACAAAATGACACAATATTGTCAAATACCAAAATGCATTCAAACCCTGCACTGTGGAACCTTAAAATAAATCAGAGTACTGGCTGAGAGTGACAGGACTGCTGACTCACAAGATACTCTGCTGCACTCTAGTGGTTGAGAGACTGAGGTTCACCCACTGAAGTGTTTTTGTGCACTGAACATTTGGTCTTGGTCAATATTTGATGTTCCCTTTCTGTAAGTATCTTCAAAAAATGCAGTGAAAATATAAAATCCACCTGTTTAGAATCAAATCATATACATAACTGACAACAATCTCATCAAGAAAAACACCTCCCCTTAAAGTCTTTGTGTATTTATTTTTATTTAACATATTTATTTGAAAAAATACAGACTAATAGCAATTTGTGGGCATTATAGTTTTAAAGGTCCAGTTTGTAGCATTTAGTGGCATTTATATCAGCAGAAATGAAATATAACTCTCTTTTCATTAGTTTATCATCATCTGAAACTGACAATCGTGTTTTTGTTACCTTAAAATGAGCTATTTATATCTACATATTGAGCGGTTCCTCCTCCACATAGTCTGCCAAGTTGTTCTCACAGTAGCCCAGAACAGACAAACCAAACACTGGCTCTAGATATGGCCATTTGTGTTTTTGCATCGGCAAAAGCTCCTACAAGTTTCTGTTGGATGCAATGTACAACGTCCGCCACTAGATGCCACTAAATCCTACACAACAGACCTTTAATGCAAAGCTTTGAATTAGCAGTCTGTTTCCACATTGTGGGCTCAACACTGCAGAAAACCAAATGTTTTTACAAAGTCAAACAAAGTTCAGTATCAGAGCAGCGTCCATTATAATGAAGAAAAATCCAGTCAAAGAAAAACAAAGGCCAAGTTGTTAGTTTACACAGCAACATGTGATTTTATTTATTTCTCAGATGTCATCATCAGAAATACAAACTGCAGAAGAGTAACGTCACAATTTGCAGCCCTGTGGTCTACTGATTGGAGATGATCGCAGTGATCAGTCTTTTATTTTCATTGTTCAGATTGTAGAAGACCAAAGCTGAGCGGCAAAGCAGCTACATGTATTCGCCTCAGGTGTGAAAACTACAGCAGACACGTCAACGATTCTCATCACAAAGTAAAAAAAAATAAACACACTAGTCATTCCAGTGTACGAGAGACATCCTCGGGGGTAAATTAATGCCAGAATAAGACACATTTAATTATTTGTTGAAAGATAACTGGAGGGAATACATATTCATACTAGACAATCAGCAATTCTGCAAATTTAAAAATCCCAAAATAAGATTTATTCTAAACATAAAGTCACATACTGTGAGCAGGTTTTGAAACAATACCACATAACGTGACAAAAATTTGTGGACAGCAGTGACCTTCTTAAGGTTTACAGGCCTTTAGCAAGCAATGGTAACTGATGTTTGGACTGTTGCTGTGGTAACCACCCCTTAACAAGGAAGTTGTGGCGAAAAGGGCGAGTAAGTATTCAAATTCCTCAGCAGCTCTACTGCTGTAGGCCAGTCAGTCAGATGAAATGTAAAGGGCAGCATTGTAATGCCCGGCTGGTGGGTGGGGTTGGTTGGTGGGGGTGGAGGGGGTTGGTGCAGTTAAAGAGGTAGCAGCAGGGGGCATTGTGGGATACACAAAGGACGACTCAGAGTACAGACAGAGTGTAGGAGAGTGAGACTTATTGTTGTAATTGTGTCTAGGGTGGAGGAATAGCATCTACAGCTGATGCAGAATAAGTTGTGTCTGTTTTAAAACAACCTGATTCACGTGATTAAACAAAAGTTTATTCCACAATTAAACATCTAAGGGCGACTTTTTTATGTTAAAGACACATTTTTTTCTTGTTTGGAAGTTTTCGTTGATACTTTATAAGCTGAAAAACTGTTGAAAGAGATTATTTTCAACAATCTATGTGATTTTAAGTTTAAAGTGAGATATACTTTAAAAGAGCTTGAGTTTGTTTTGCTACTTCAGTAACTCAAAGTCCACTTACTACTCTGCTTTTTCCAGAGCTCTCAGTCACTACTGTAATAAAGGTGAATTTTCATGCTCAGTCTTAATTTTAGGCTGAATGGCAGTAAAATTTCATGAGTTATAGCATTGCCAGATGAGTACTCATTACTATTTTTTGAAAGTAAAAACAAATTCAGAGCTAAATTAGGTGATCAATCGATTTAGAAGTCCACGGTAAAATGATCAGCAACCATTTTTACAATCATTAATCATGTGAGTGATTATTTCATGCAAAAATAATAAAAGAAATTCTCTAGTTACAACTTCTCAAATGTGCTTAGAAAAGCAGCACATTCTTACCATAAATGTAAAGTTAATATCTTTGGGTTTGGACCGAAAAAAGCATTTTGAATTTGTCTAGTTGGGCCTCAGGATGACTTTGCAACAGGTAATTTTCACTGCGACCCAATGATTAACTATGAAAATACTGGTCAGATTGATCAATAATGTAATTAGGCTAATTGATGTGTAGTCACAGTCCTTTGTTACTTATTCAGACAGGGTTCTAAGTTTAGGCTACATGCGGGCCACACACACAGCGGCATGACACACTGGTCTTTTTGTGTTCATCAACTTAATTTGCATTACAAGAAGAGGAAGAAGGAAGCCACCACATGTCAACATTACACTGTAGGTCAGAGCTCTCAACATCTGATACAAGATACAGATACTTGGAGCATTTCAAAATATCTGTGCGCTCACACATTTCTCTTTTACCCTTCATTTTTTATGCTATGTAAACATATTGATAGTCAGAAAAATACTATGTCTTTACATTATGTACAAAGTGAATCACTATCACTGTTTCAGCTCGGTGTGATGGAATGTAGGAAAAGTTTCTACTCTCCTTGTTTTTTTTTCTTTTACAATCGAGGAGTTTCTACTGGTGATGGATCGGCTACATTAAGCTTTAAGGCAATGCACTGTGGTGTGTGTTGCTGCCATCGAGACAATGGCACAATGCAGTTTGAAAGGCAAGTGGTGTGAAATGGTCAACAGGGCAGAATTCAGTTTGTGCCTCTCGTTGGTATTACCTTTGCATTTGAGCTACGGAGCTACGCATTTGTTTGCTTTTTAAATAAATAACCGGCGATCTTAAAAAAGCCAAGAAGGATGATTATAAACACTAAAGGTGTTTAAAGGTATTGACAGACTCTTAAATCTGGTACATGATAAAGAAAAGATGTTCTGACCCATTGTCCAAGTTGCGACTACATTTCCTATCCAGGTAGCAGGAAATTATTTTAGTTGCTACTAGTTTTGTACGACACAAGCAACATACGTATATACCAGTTATTTTGTATGAAAATATAAAACAATACAATGTAACATACATATGGACAAATTTAAGTTTCAAAATTACTTTCACTTTGTACAAATTCAGCAGGGACACAAGTCGTTTCCAGCTACCATGTTTGGATTGCGAAATATTTGTGCAACTTGAAAAATGGGTTACATTGTTTTTTATACTGGAAATATACTGCTTTGACTTCACTGTAGAGTGCTATAGGTTTTTTGGCCCCAGCCAGAAGTTGGCTTCGCCCTGGTTCCCTCGTCAAATAAGATCTTTGGCAAACAACCGGTTATGGTACTTTAAGGAAGTGATTTTTTTACAAGATAATCTTCACATTTTTAAGCAAAAAAACAGTCATCAGACGTTCAAAGCAAATATCGTGTTATAAATGAAATCAATATGGTCATGTGACTTCATTGTCACCACCACCACCACCACCACGAGGCTGTTAAGCTGCAATCGGCGTGATGATGTTCTTTAGTCTCACTTAGCCACTTGTTAGCAAATGTCTTTTTAGACACATAAAAGCTTCAAAATTAATGAGTGGGGGTATTTACAGATGTCTACTTCATCTGCTTAACCAGGGCCGGGTGGCAGGGGCAACAGGCCAAGAAAAGCACCCCAGATGTCCCCCTCCCCAGCAAGACTTTTTAGTCCTCCTGTGGGACAAGGTGTTCCCAAGCCAGATGAGACATGGAATCCCTCCAGCGTGGCATGGGTCTGCCCCGGGGCTTCCTACCAGTGGGACGTGCCCAGAACACCTCCAGCAGGAGGCACCCAGGAGGCATCCTGATCAGATGCCCGAACCACCTCAACTGACCCCTTTCGATGCGAAGGAGCAGCAGCGCTACTTCGAGCCCCCTCCGGATGTCTGAGCTCCTCACCCTATCTCTAAGGCTGAGCCCAGCTACCCCACGGAGGAAACTCATTTTGGATGCTTGTATCCGCAATCTCATTCTTTCGGTCACTACCCAGAGCTCACGACCATAGGTGAGTGTTGGGACGTAGATGGACCAGTAAACTGAAAGCTCCGCCTTCCTGCTCAGCTCCCTCTTCACCACGACGTTTCCACATCATTGCAGACACTGCACCAAACTGTTCCATTCTACCCTTACTCGTGAACAAGACCCCGAGATACTTGAACTCCCTTGCTTGAGGCAGTAACTCTCTCCCAACCCTGAGGGGGGCAATCTGCCGGTTTCTGGCAGGGAATCATGCCCTCAGAATTGGAGGTGCTGACTCTCTTCCTGACCGCTTCACACTCGCCCCAGTGCATGCTGGAGGTCATGGTGTGATTAAGCCAACAGAACCACATCATCTGCGAAAAGCAGAGATGCAATTCTGAGGTCCCCAAACCGTACAGACATATTTTATGTCATTGACACGTGACGACAAGTGAAAGTCTTTTAAGCTTGTGTTAATCACAGACCTTATTTCAAGTATCTCACCATAAACCCATTCAAAAATGACTGACTTCGAGATGAGGGAACCAGGAGAGCTAAAATGCTAACTCATTTCAAGGTTTTAGGACTCATTCCTGCACCACTCTTTTGTGCAGCAGACTGTATTTTTCTATGAAAAACCCCACAAATGACATATTTAATATTTGAAAAATCATATGCTCAGCTCTGTGACTCAAATGTAATGGTGCTACAAAAACAAACTGGAGCTAGGCTGAATTATGACCAGTTATTGTTACGATTTAACCGTGTCAGGAAAGGTGCAGGCCTAGAGAACATCTGACATGACTACATTCACAGTAGAAACATTAGACCAGACTGTCAACATAATCACGTGACTGATGATTATTTCAGTGTAGTTTCAGACATGTTCAATGCTTTTCTCTTAAAGCATCAGATTGTGTGTTAGCCTACAGTATACAGGAAAAGATTCCCTACGTGCACGTCTACTCCATGAGATTATGGAGGAGTTCTAACACATTTACAAACTACTGACACACATACATACACAAGGTACAACAAGTACCACAGTTGGTATACACTGTCTTATAATCTGTGACTTTATATATTGTAGTAATATTATTATTATACCAGGGATTTGTAAAAAAGTGACACTGCAGTTTAAACCATTTTATCAGATCTACATCTTCATCATGCAGAGCCAAATGAACGTATTCTACTTTTCCTGCTGGTACAAGGCCACTGCGATCTCTCTGAGGTATCAAGCAAAGGAACCAAAAAGCAAACAGGAGCGATACTCTACTGGAGGACGCAACAAAACTACAGTAGAAGACACTGTAACAGCAGCAAGTTAAGGTACAACAGATCTTGTAACCCTGAATGAAACGGACACTGAAGCTCAGTCTCAAATTGTCGGAGCTAATTAGCAGCATCATATAGTCAGTAGTGTTCAGCATCAACAGCATCACAGACACTAGCATATACAGGAAACAGACGGCGAAGCAGGCAAAGAGGCTCCTGGGTAAAAACACCAATTTGCCGTTTGTCAGTTTAGTTAATGCCCCCCCCCAGAAAAAAAAGATTTGTGTGAAAAGTTGTGAAAACAACAAAACAGGAACTCATGAAGCAGTTCATTGCATCTTGCTCTTTGCAATTCATAAACCTGAAACAGAGTCAGCTACTGGAGGAACCTCATGGTGAGACAGCTTAAAATCATTTTTCAGAATCCTGTCTTTTGCATGATACGAGTCGGCACTGTAGATGGGGAAGAAGAGCAAATATCAATTTACATCAAAGTCTCTTTCTTCTGTTCTTTCTGCAGTCTGTTTATTTCCAGCTTGGTTTACCACCTCTGCTGGGCGTCACCGAGTCTCTAGACTGGATGGACTTTTCGGAAAAGCTACCAGTCTTACGGATTTCTTCACGTGTTGAAGGTGGTGGGGGAGTCTCGCTGCGGTAGGCGCTGCGACTGGCTGCCTTCACACTCTGCACCCGTCGCAGGTTTGTCCCTTGTGGCCGCTCCTCACTGGTACTAACTGTAGATGACAACCTGTTCTGCCTCCCCGGTGTTTGCCGAGCTAGAAGCGAGGGGCTGCGAGACGGGGTGGAGGGGACAGACGGAGGGGCCAGCTCCTTCTTGGTTCTAGAAGTTGAAGCTACCGTGTTGCGAGCAAAGCTGGGGACATCGGAGGTGTTTTTTACGTTGAGCGTGTGACAGCTGCTGTTCTCAGAGGAAGCTGCGCCCTGAGCCTGAGCCTGAGCCTGGGCCTGTGCTAGGGCTCTCATGGTGGAGCGGCACATCTTCTCCTCAGGTGCGGGTTTAGGGATGTTCCTCAGGGGTTTGGCGCTCGGCTTGTGGATGGAACCTTTTCTTGGGGTCGAATCGCGTGCCCATCTGGAAACGCCGCCTGTGAGGCTGCTTCCCCTGTGAGCTTTTGACTCGTCTGGAGGCAGGCTGGAGTGTCGAGGAGGTCTTGTGGTTTTCTCGCTCCTTCCTCTCGCTGGGGTGCTCTGGTCCCGAAGAGGCCGCCGAGACTCTCCGTTGTCTTGCCCCAAAGGTTTATCTGCTCTCTTGTTGCTACCTGTCCTTGTAAGCTTGCTAATGGGCACAACTTTCCGCATGCCCTGAGCCTCGCTGCTGGTTAATGTTCGCACATTGCGACCTCCACTGCCCTTAGTCGCTTTGTTAGGTTTACTCTTTGTATGCGCTGGTTTTCTGCTGCTTCTCTGTGCATCTTTTTCCGCGCCTTGTTTCCCCTCTGCCGTGTCACAGCTCTCTGTGTCCCACTCTTCTGTGGTAGCAGACGGGGTCATGGATGATGCGTCCACAGATTTTGGCACTGAAAGCTCATTGGTTGAAATGGACTGGTCATTAGGAGACTCCAGATTAGAGGACAGAGAGCTTGGATCTTGCTGGCTCTCCTGATCAGATCTCCCGCAGTCAGTCGTCGTTTTGAAATGTCCCTCTTTTGTAAGAGATGAGCTTTCAACCTCAGAGTAATCTGAAGTGACAGAGCAGTCCGCCTCTGTGCAGTCTAGAATATAAAACATTGGTTTCTTATTGGACACAGATGTATCTAGCGGGAGGGGTGTATCACAGGTTGTTGACGAAACTGTGCTGTTGTCCTCTTCTTCTTTCTCTCTCTCAGGAGAGACCCCGGCTTGTATGGGAGGATCTATTTTCCCTCCCCAGGCTGCCTTGGGATCTGCTCCTCTTTCTAAAACTTTATCATGTCGGAGGATGTCCAGATTTAAGGGAAGTGACTGTCTCTCCTTTTCCAAATCAGTCACCACAACATCCCCCTGGTTGACAAAGTGCAGATGACTGCTGTTATTGTTTGGACTAGGTAGGTCAAAAGCTTGAGGTCCTCGAACTAAAGTGTGCGTCTCCAGACTAACATTCATGTGGCCGGTAATTGTTGGGTTGTGAAGATGGGCGGACTTCTGAAAGACAAAATAGGGGCGAGGCAGAGCGCTGCCCTCTGACACCGATGAGTAATTATTGTTGTTGTATGGGTCGTTATCATTCAGCCCAGAGGAGGAGAACCTGGCCAGCGGGCTGATAGGCTCAGTTTCTGCACGTGGAGACGTCACCTGTCTGTCACAGCCCAGCTCACGGTTGTCATCCTGGGCTAAGATCCAGGGGGTCATCCTCCGCTGCATGGCACGGCCCGACCGAGGTAGGCTGTTGAACTTGGAATAGTCGGTGGGATTTCCAGTGCCTCCGAATAGCTCCAGGTATCCTTTGAGTTCTCGATCTGCTATGGAGGTCATGGTGTGACGGTGGCGGCGGGCGCTGGCGGAGCGTCCCAGCGGGCTGTGGGGACTCTGAGACCTCTGCTGGAAGAAGTCCAGCAGGCCTTCCTTGGTGAGCATCTCCACGTCGTTCTCGCTGCTGCTGCGACCAAATCCACCGCTTTGATCTGCACCCGACCACGCAAAGCGCTTTTCCTCCAGCTCCCTCAGGCGACGCTGTCTGGCTGCTTCCTTCAACTCACGGTCTGAGTTGTCCTGAGAGAATGAGGACAGTGGAGAAATATTTAGAGGAAGAAGCTCAAATCAGACTAGAAAGAAATGAACACTTCAAGCATCTTGTTTTACCTCTAAATTCACTCATCTTAACTGATATTTCCCAGTTATTTCAACATTGTCTTTCTTTCTGTTAGTTTTGGCCTCACTAAAGTAACTGAGTGTGCATGACTTGCTCTCCTATTTAAGCCAACAGTTTCTGTTGATGCAGTTCCTGCCCCTGGAGCAACACACCAGCTTTGCTTGACAAAGTTGGATGCAGCTGCCAAAATATTACGCAGGAGAGCCCAAAACAGTCATTGTGACCAAAATGCAAAGCTTGGTTTGCATAGTTGAGTTCTCATGATTAATAAAATGGTCCAACGATTGAAAATGTCATGTATTCCTGAGCCACAAAGCCCCTATAATGATACATTTGGGAGGGAATGGTTGAGAAAAAAAAATGGTATGTTACATCAAATTTATGGATAACATTACACGGATACATTTAAATTTATAAAATAAAAAGAACAGTAAAATCAAGCCTTTCAATTTGGAGAAGTTTTTTTTTTTTTTTAACTAAACAAAGCCTAAATATTTTGTTTATAATCCGGCTTCCTTTGGTCTACTTTATTCTTTCAGTTGTGGTTAAACAATCCAATTTCAACGCACAGTTTTGAGAAATCTGATGAATCTGTGATTTGATGGCAGGCGAATCTAACGCTCACAAGGAAGTACTACCCCCGTGGTTCCCAACTGGTGGGTCATGGTCCAAAAGTGGGTCTCCGCAAATGACTCGGAAACATGTCAAGTTTGTAAAAAAAAAAAAAAAAAAAAAAAAAAAAAAAACACTATATTTTTAAGTACAATGAATTTCCATCCAAGTGTTGTTTTCTGCTGTAGAGTGAGTAACTAACAGACAGTTGCTTGACAGAGACGGCAAACTCGCTCGACGACATGGCCAAATGCAAGTATGACGCTGAATGCATTAAACTGTGTGGACCTCCAACTAATGACTAAGGAGAAATCTGGGCCCTGTGGCTGGACCAGTTGGGAACCACTGTACTAGTGCGTGTCCAAGTTTCTGCGAGTTGTACACGTGGCGTACCACCAACGATGTCACTGCAGTGACATCACTCCAACTAAGTGAGCGACAATTAGACAGGCTATAAATAACTAACACTTCAGCCAGTATTTAAACCACTGGGTGCTCATGATATGTCAGTAAAAATACTTAATTGCACAAGAAAACCATGAACTTACATTAGGTCAAAATTGAATCAGGAAGTAATTCTGTGTTCTGTGTTATACCTGGCTGTGAGACAGTTTCCCCTGAGGGCAATAAAGTTAAGGCTGAAACTGAAAGGTGAAAGTCCTGAACACTGTGATGGAAGGTTACAATGAACAGTTTGGGTAGTAATTTTTATTAATTTATTTATTTTCTTCCAAAGGAAGTTGGCTAACTTGGGGGTTTCTTTAAAACCTGTGTAAGTGTCTCCTTGTGTTTCCTGCCCAGTCTGACTTATCTTTAGCGACACTGATTTGTTCCCAGATCTGAGCAATTAACATAGTGAGTACAAGGTTATTATAACCTGTGGGAATCAGGCTCAAAACAATTACTTTTTTTAAAAATCAGAATTATCCTCTCATTAAAACTGACCTTGACGGCTTTCTTGAACTTGATGCAGAAGTCCTGAAAGATGCGGAAGCACTCGTCCAGCTTAAAGGTGTCCTTGTCTTCACAAAAGAAGTCGATGAGAGTGTTCCCCTCTTTGCGCAGATCCAGCCTGCGTCTCTTCAGGTCCTGGAGCGTCCGTGCCGAACTCTGAGACATCAGGCACATACATTTTTTATTGTGGCACTTTTATGGATGCCGTTATCTATAGCACTTGAGTCAGCAGTGCCAGAAATGTACAGTGGCCTGGATCCAACTTTCTGTACCCGAGTTTGTGAGTAGAACGTATTACATAACTGCTGCTGCTGCCTCACCTGCAGAAAGGGCTCCAGCTGCTGCAGTAGCTCCTGGTCTCCTTGAACTTTCTCCTCCAGGGATTTAATACGAACATATAAGGAGGAAAACTCCACCTCTATGTTTTCCACTGAGATTCTACATGAAAACATTACAGCAGAAAGATTCAGATCAGGAAAATGTGCTTAGGTGACGACACACATAATCATCAAATTACTGACTGCAGATTGTCCCCATAACACTGCTGTGCAGGACAATATGAGACAGCATTTTATTGAATGCATTTTCAGACTGTTGTCTGTTAAAGGTGAAGATAGCGCCGCTGTGAGAAATGCCTTCGCAGTGTGGGAGGAGTAATCTTGGCTCTGCGGTGCAGGAGATGCACTGTCTCCACACAGAGGACGACCTTGTGAAGCTGACAGAGCCTGACAGCCACCAGCATCACACTGCGTTCTGAACATGACTCTCAAAGTACTGCACTTAAATTAGATGTCAGCTTAAGTAATGAGGCTGGATGCCGAGGTTGTCAATTCAGCAATAAACCAGAATCACCACCTCGATCTTGTATGCCTCTGCAAACCTGTCAAGTTACAGTTTACATCCATGACTGTTCAGAATCACATGTATCCATGACAGTAGACAATGCTACAAATTTGAATATTAATATAATTATAATTACATAATTGTAAAACATGTATGCTTCACAGATATCATTAACACGGCAACAGGAAATCTTTACAATCAGAACAGTTTAAAGATTAGTGTCACTAATTCAGTTTCTGACCAAATGTCTCCCCTTCTGTTCCTGAGATATGGCGTTGAGTAAAGGCCAGAAAAGTATTTTTTTAAAAACATTATGATGTCACAATAAAGTTGAACTTTGACTTTTGGGATATAAAATGTTGTTACTTTATCGTTATATTCTGTTAGACATTTGTGTGAAATGTTGTCATAATTAGTGCATGAATTTTTTGAGTTATGGCCAAAAACATGCTTTGTGAGGTCACAGTGACCTTTGACCTTTGACCACTAAATTCCAATAAGTTTATTGTTGAGTCCAGGTGGATGTTTGTGCCAAATATAAAAACATTCCCTCCAGGCGTTCTTGAGATATCGTGTTCATGAGAATGATATAATGGATAATCCGAAAATTAAAATGCCTCCAGTCATGGCTGTCACTGGTGCAGAGGCATAATAAAAATGATAAAACCTCAGTCTGGATCATGGTTTTTCCCCATTTTTAGTAATTTACAAACCATGACAGAACTTCAGACTTAAATATATCTATTAAATATATCTATAAGTTTTTCAGAGGCCACTGTGCCTAAAACATTAAAGGAATACTTCACCCATAAAACAATCCTTTTTATATAAATTACCTGCTGCATGTTACATTAAATTTGTGAAAAAAAGTAGTTTATGTTTCATGCCTTATCTACCAAACATCATCAAACACTTTGGCATTAGAGTAGCCCAGCTGGGCAGGCGCGTGTGTTTCAACTCTGTTCGTGGATTCCATTGAGCACAGTTTAAACTCATGCACTTGCCCAGGCAAGCTCCTCGTCCTTATGCGAGACTGCTTATGCAGAAGAGTTTTAGTGAAAATGACATGTGATTGAGAAATACTGATAATACCACTGGATAATTAGACTTATACTGCACAAGCTCTGTGAGAGTTTGTCAATGAATGTTAAACGTGGCATTTCATCAAGAATTTTCTCCGTTTTTGGATTCTTCTGTCACTGTAAAGGCAAGAAAAACTACGTTTTCTTCCTGAATTCAAGGTAACACGGGTGAGTAATTGATATATGAATGATCATTTAGTGTGTGAAGTATTCCTTTAAACAGAGGTTTGGAGTTACTGGTGTCATTATAGTGTTGTTAAAGCTTTTGAGTTTCTTTTGAACAATGCAACAAACCACCTGTTTTCAGTGGTGAAGCTCTGGAAAACAAAGTAATGTGGTGGAAAGCAGATTCTTTCCAGCCTGCTTGATACCATCATTCCCAATGTTATAGCCAAGCTACAACAGCACTGACAAATTAAGCTATGTAATGTTTATTCTTGTTGTTATGACAAAGTCTTTGTCTTAAACTGTGAGGAGCAGTTTACCTGGCTGCACTCTGGACATCCTGAAGCTTCTCTGGAAACTTGAGCAGCTTCTCGTCTTTCTTCTTTGCCTCCTGTGTGGAGACACGTGTCACATAATTTACATCTAAATTGTTTTTTGCATGGTGAAGTGTCATCATCGCAGTGTAAAGGAGCACTTGTTACGTAAGCCCTTGGCCAGCCTCTCTTGGCTCTTTTCTGTTTCCTGTCACCATCTGTTGTCCACCTGCCCTCCTGCAGTCTGTTTACTCCAGCTGCCCTGCTGTGAAAGCTTTATATGAAATTAACTCTTTGCAGCTGACATGATGAACAACTCTTTTATTGCATTAAACTGAAATATGTGTCTCACTTTGTTTAGATTTTTACTTCACACATTTTAAAGTTTGTGTGATTTAACCGCAGCTGTGAGGATAGACCACAGATTTTCTCATATGAAATATTAATAGGATGAAATTGGTGTCTAGTTATCTCAGAGATATCTGAGTACGCATTGAGTACATACACTTCTTTACAGGTTGAAACAGGTTTAAATACACACATTAATGGCTTCAAAAACACAAGAGATATGATTATTATTCTCATATAAAAGCAGATACAGTAGAGGTTTGACTTAATGCAACTCAGTGAGTAACCCTGCAACACACAGTGAAGCTTTAACCATTCAGTTTTATGCTGACGTGGTGTCAGAGGAGTGTTGATGTGGTAATTTTCTGACACCCCACTCTGCTGTGTCGTATTGGATTACATAACATACTATAGCCCCTAATGCTAATGTGTGCATCATTTTGTATAACTGAAGCCTTCACTAACCATGGCGACAAAATGCAGCAGATTCATCCCCGGCTTGTTGGCCTTGGTGTCGGCCAATGAGAGGAGGGAGGACAGCTTGAAGCCCACAGCGTTGCCAGCGTAGCCGCCCTGAGAAACACAGAGGGACAAATCACAGAGACATATTAAGATGTTGAAGGGTAAGTGTTGGCATATACTGTATTTTTTATATTGGCAACAGATCCCATGAAAAGACAAAAACAATGAACTGATCCACTAACAAGTGCAGCCTTTATAACTAAAGCCTGGTTTTAATTATTCCTCTGTAGATTCTCTATAGACCTTCATTTATGTCAAGAAATGAATGCCGAATAGGTGAAACACTGTGGGTAAAGATGCACTGCTTTCTTGGCAGGAGTTAAATTACAAAATTTATACCATGCTAAGTATGAAACTAACTTCACCATGGCCGGTCCCAAGCCTAGATTAGAAAAAGGAGCATGCTCTCTATCACAGCTCACAGCTGCCTGACTCTGTGGGACTGGCTCCATGCTGACTGAAGGCTCACTGAAGGCTGAGCATTTTTGTTTCTTAACACTGACCAACTAATGCATGTTTCTTTCATTTAGCATAAAAAAAAATTATTAGAATTAGTATAATTATATAAAACCTCCTGACAGTTTTTATTAGCAGATTTCTATGCGATTACATTTTTTACTGTCCAACTTGGACACAGCTGGTGCATCTGTGTCTCTTCTGCCACCTGTTATGCCCAAACAGAAGCATACCCAATACACGTGGCCCCTTTTATATAAATACTATAACTACATCAATATTATAAAAAATATAGGCTAAATATTAAAAGTCGATATATGACATGAATGTATAAATTAAATATTCCAAACTCAGGAGTTCAAGTGTCCACAGCAACGCTGTTGACTGCAGCAGTGATTTCATTCATTCGTTCATCTTCTAACCGCTTCATCCTCTTGAGGGTCGCAGGGGGGCTGGAGCCTATCCCAGCTGACATCGGGCGAGAGGCAGGGTACACCCTGGACAGGTCGCCAGACTATCACAGGGCTGACACATAGAGACAAACAACCATTCACACTCACATTCACACCTACGGATAATTTAGAGTTATCAATTAATCTAGTCCCCAATCTGCATGTCTTTGGACTGTGGGAGGAAGCCGGAGTGCCCGGAGAGAACCCACACTGACATGGGGAGAACATGCAAACTCCGCACAGAAGGGCTCCCACGCCCGAGATCGAACCGGCAACCCTCTTGCTGTGAGGCGACAGTGCTGCAGCAGTGATTTCTTTCTATTCTATGTTTTCTGAATTCCTTGAGAAGCTTCTCTTCTTGGCCGTATTATGCCTGTCCATGTTGGAGGTCTAGGGGCGAGGCCTCTAAACCGAGAATATATTAAGGCCGGATATTTAAATAATGATTAATGTGGCAGCTGAAAACAATCAACAACTCTGTTTAGGATTTTATCATTCCTACGCTGTGATTGGCAAGATAAGAATGTTTCATGACTAACACATGAACCCTATTGTTAGATGATTTCTACACTTGGATTTGTGCTGGTTTGTATGTTAGATTGATAAATAAGGGCCAGTAACACTGGGCAGACCTTTAGATTGAACCCCCAAAGCACAAGAAAAAGAGGCCAGCTCAAGAACACCTGGTGCAGGGACCTCGAGCTGGCTGACATGAAAACAGCTGGAAAAGAAAGTCCACGACAGAAGACTCTGGTGAACTGTGGTCAACAGCTAAAGGAGCGATAAGTAAGTAATTAAGATAGAAGCGTGAGCAGGCAGCCATTCAGCTTAGATTAGCATAAAAAGAGGAGGCGGGGGAAAAGGGGCTAGCCTGGCTTAGAAATTAGTCAGAGAAATCGTCCTACCAGCCCTAAACAAAATAAACAAACATGTTATTTAGTAAGTTTTAGAGGTAATGGTGGGCTGTTTTTTAACCCTCTTATCTTTTTTTGCTGTTGTAAAACAATAAACTGTCAATTTTACGCTTCAGTTTTTGTATAAATTAACAAAGAAAATATAATGTGTTAATTTAAGAGCTATAGAAGTGCTGGTAAGCAAAATCTTTTTTTCCCTTTGGACAGAGCCAGGTAAGCTGTTTCTCCCTGGTTTTAGTCTTTATGCTAAGCTAAGCGTCTCTATTACATGCACCATTTACTCCCGTTCGAGCAGGACTGCTGCTGGCCATTTGGGTTCCCTTAGCGTAATCACTGTACGGTGTTTGTAAGTTATTAGAAACTTACTCTGGAGGTTGCTTTGTCACTTTTCAACCTGCCTGCACAAACTACTATCTCCGGTACTGAATGGAGCAGGGGAGAGACAGACATGACACATCACTTTGGTTCAGCTGTGCTTATTTTCCGTGGTTGTAATAAAAATTTTGGCTCATTTTTCACTGTAGCAATCCACAGAGGAGAAAGACAAAAACCATGTGATAATATTTTTTTTATTCATATTTTTTTTCTTTTAACGTAATGATCCTGATGCATAATTAATTTTATTATTTTGAGCAGTTATGTATATCATAATGCCTGTAATGATCTAATGGTACCTACTGTAGTTGTGCTTCATTGTAAATTGAAACAGCTCTTATTGACGTCCTACCCACAGTGCATGATTTGCATGTACATAGAGGTGGCGCTGCATTTCCTTAACCATTGCCCAAGGCCCAGCTGGTTAAGGAAAAACAGAAACAATATATTTGCAGTGCATTGTTACAGATTTACGTCCTCTGTCGGCCTGAATAGGCTTGGGGTGGAGTGCCACAAAAATCTTAACCAGAATAGTGGCAGCCTAACCCGTTACATGAGACAGACCGAAGACAGATGTTAATGTATAAAGTAAACATGACTGATGGACTCACAGCGTTCATGATGTTTCCGGCCTGCAGCACCAGATGCAGAATGGCATGAAGCTCCTCGCAGCTCATCAGCTCTATGGCATGAGATCAATAGAAACTCGATTAAGAGAATCCTGCGCAGATCAGAGCAGCACATTACACACTACTTCACTTTCATTTACCACCACCACCACACAGAACGACGATCGGCAGCAATAATGCCAACATTTGCCACACAAAGGTGACAAAATTATTTCTGGATTTTGACCTGCTGCCCTTTCAGCTCTAACAATACGGGTAAAAGTTTTAATTAAAAGGTGTCACAAAAGTTCAACTTAATTTGTCCCATGCAGTGTTTAACTGATGGCTCTGCAATGCAGTGAAAAGGTCACAGTACTGTAGAAGAGGGTTTAAGAAAAATCCAATAAACCACAGAGCGGCAGGACAGTGTGACTCAGCTAAAGTGACACAGGCTGATGGCTGCGTACAAAAAGCACTGTTTAGGATTTTTCTTGGTCAGTTTAAACACCCAGAATATGTTTGGTGATATTTATAAAGAATATAAGTTTCTTTCTAATCTGTATTTGCATCTTATCTCTTGCTTCCTTACACCTTAAATTTTGTCTTCCCTTAGTTCAGCATTACTTTTTGGCTTCTCTTGTTACATTGCCTCTGGGGTATCTTGCTCCTGCTTTGTTCTGTTTGTCAAAGCACATTGTAATCTGTTTTTAAAGGTGCTACACAAATAAATTATTATTATTATCATTACTGTTATGTGTGCTCTGTGTGCTGTTTCACTGCACATGACAAATTAAGCAGAACTTGTCATCTTTAGCCATGTTAGCAGCGTGGATACAGATGGATTGCCATGAAATTTGGTACACACATTCATGTAACAACTCTGGTGAACCCTTAACTTTTCATCCAGTCTCATCATTAGGACAATAGGTCCAATACTGCAAAACAAATGGCATACCCGTCAGCCCCGGCTGTACTGCTTATTGCTAATCATATCAGTAGGGAAGAGCAAGTGCATCAGTATTTGTGTTTGTTCAAACAATGAAATTATCTGTATCGGTATCTGTACTCAGAGTTTAAACCTGAAGTGGGTGTGACTTCAACCAGTAATGGGTGGGACCTAACTAGAAGCTGTTATTTTAAGCCTGAACATTCTATAGGATTGATCACAAGAGTAATAGTTTTCACAGCACAAGTGACACAACAACAACGTGACAGGCTACATTATTGCTGAGTTGTCGAAGTGCTGCTCAAGCGATTGTTAACGTCGTTCCGTTGTCACAGGCTTGTGTGTGTCTGCTACTCACCACACAGCACCACAACTGAATATCATCTATAGTTTGTATTTGACAAAAAAAAAAAAAAAAATTTAATCTTCTGATCAATTCCTGAGCCCCAATTTTAACATCACATTCTGCCGCCCCATTGTATCCATTTGTGCACTGACAATGTGCAAAAAGCTAGCATCAGCTAGCTAAGCTAAAGGAAATAGTACCACATCTAGAAACAAAAACATATGATTGGCTGAAGCTTCATACGTCATTGGAGTGCTGAAAAAATTGAGGCCAACTCAACTTGAGTGTGTAGCACATCACATTTGTAGCTTCAAGCTTCCATTGAAAATGACTTGTAGGGGCTTAGTGGATAGAGCAGGCGCCCCATATACAAGGCTGTCGCCGCAGCGGCCCGGGTTCGACTCCAGCCTGAGGCCCTTTGCTGCATGTCACTCCCTCTCTCGCTCCCCCTTTCACGCTTAACTGTCCTATCGATTAAAGGCAAAATGGCAAAAAAATATATATATATAAAAAAAAAAGAAAAGAAAATGACTTGTAGCCTGTTGCTGTGTCGCTTATAGTGTGAACACGACATAAAGGGATTGATCACAGCTAATAAAATGAGGATTTCCCTTCATTGCGTGTACAGACATTGACACATCTAACTGAAATTTAACAAAAACAAGGGCCAATTTTTGCAAACTAAATTTGACAGTTTAAATAATGTATCAGTTACATGTAGAAAAAAAAACAGCTATACAAAGATGACACAGCCTTGTCTTTCCACTCTGTCCCCACAACAGCATATCTCAGGTGACACATTCCTACTTCTTGTTCAGCACCGCTGACAGCTCAAATATCTGGGTCACCTGTCTGAGCACGTGTGTATGTGTGTATGTGTGCGTGTGTGTGTGTGTGTGTGAAGGCAGCAGAGCCTGTGTGTTATTACCTTTTGTAGCGACGCGGATGACATCGATCTCTCGGCTCATCACAGCACAGGAAGGGAAGAACTCTTCGCGGAGGACAATGGCCTCGATCCGAACCTCGAACCTGTCGGAGATGAAGCAGAGAGCGGTTACACCTGTGATATGAGGGGAATCTTATTCTGCGGGTTGTGATTAGATGGAAAAGAAGTTGACAGATGTCTCATGAAGGCCAAGGTTCTGTGGAAGTCCGAAACATTATTTTTCTGTTAAAGCTGCAGTTGGTAACTTTTACAAAAAATAAGTTTTTGTCATATTTGCAGAAACTGTCACGATATTCACCCAGCACTAAATGAGACAGATAATCATACTTCTCTGCCTACTCTATTCCCTTGTAGCATTTGTAATGGCCTTACTGCATGTGAACAAAAACAACCAATCAGTCAGTCATGTCAGTTACAGCTCATGAACTGTGGTCAAACTGTCAAACTAGGCAGCACAGATCAAATATTAATCAAGATTCTGTTACTGCATTGCCTATTTCTCACCTCAAATGTTTTCAGAAACATATTTTAGTGTACTGTTTAGCTGTAAAATGAGAAAGTTTGGGACCCTTCCACCATGTTGGATACACTTAAAAAGTATGAAGCACCGTCGTACAACCAGACCAAACTTTATCTAATACCCTCTTATCCCTCTAATCTTATCTCCACTAGAGTGAGTACTACTGCGCGTTAATGTGTTCAGTGTGGTTGCAGAAAAATGACAAGAAAGAAATCCAAAAAATGTTTTTTCTTTTAGCAACTGTAAAATATATGTGACACTTAAATCTTTGCAGGTCATTCTAACACTTTGGGAAGAGACTTTAGATGTCCATCTTAACCAAGTCTGGTGCAATACAGTTTAAACTTTCAATGTGCACTGCTGCAGAAAAATAAACACACACAAATATAACACTTTTATATAAACACATGAGTTAGAGGTACAAGTTCGTTGGAAAGTCCCCACAAAATGCAAATCCATCCTCACAAAATGACACGATGCAAACCCTTTCTTCTTTCACTGACTGTCAAACAACGTCACATTTCCCTTTGACTGAAACGACTCTGTGTACACACCATTGAAATCAACTTACCGAGGCACCTGGATTAAGAGGTACATAAAGGAATCGACTAGCGTCAGCTTGTCTGGGTCTCCTTTAAATGACTGAAGTTTCTTGATCTGTTGGGTGAAAACAGAGAGAGAGGAAGCTCAGCAGGCTCGATTATTTCCCATCTACATTCACTGTCTTTTATCATCATATTTGGTCTTTGATTCAAAAACTTTATACTAAAAGCCATTTCTTAAACACACACAGACCTCCTCTACGTCAGGCAGGAGCTTCAGCAGGTCTTTGAGGATCTCTGCTCCATAAATCTTTCCCTCTCCTCGCCGTATGTCTTCAACAATGGAGCGGTTCGACCTGAAACAGACAATTCATTTCAGTATACCTCCATGATAAATAGCACAGGTGCTCTCTCTTTTATAGCTACCTCCCCTGTGTTTACAAAGGCACCACATCCAACTGTCACTCACAGAGTCAGACGTCCCTTTCAGGAACAATAAAAAAAACTGCCAATGACAATATTCAGCTTCACATGTGAGCATTTCATTGTTCCTTCCTTAACACGACCATGACTTCATTTATCTATGACACACCCAAGTCTGTAGTGCTGCAGCACAATCCCCAATTACATCACTGCTATAAAAGAAGACTGTTAGAAAAACCTTCATGGACAATATCCAGTAAGCTGACACCTTATAATATGATGCAACCCGGTACAGTTGCCCTGTAATAAATATCACCTTTATGAGGCTTATAATACTCAGACTCATGATCACATATAGGGCTGCAAACTGTTCATAATGAAAAGTCTTTTGTCACTATATAAGAGTTTCACGCTGTGTTATTTTTGAGCCTGAATTTATGGATTGCTGCAGGATTAATGTGACACTTTGAAATTACTTGTAATGAGAGGATAGAGGACGAGATATTAAAGGGGAATCATGCCCATTTACAACATTTGTACATGCTGTATGGTGGAAGATTGTCCAAATATATTAAGGGACATGAAGAACTCTCTCCCAAATCCAAAAAATAGAATTACTGTGTCATGGTTGTCTGCCTCCAGCAATAGTCAAGTTGCTGTTGCAGTTTACTTCTGTGACTTTTCAGTCTCATATGTAGTCACAAGTCATGACAGTTGACAAGTCTTCATTTATGGATGTTGCTGCAAAGAAGCTACACATTTTAAAATGTGGATGCTTCCCCGCAACACAGAAGATCTATACAAGCAGATCAGTTTTAAGATGGACACCCAAGATTAGTGACCAAATGTCTCCCCTTCTGTTCCTGAGTTATGAGGCTGAGTAATGGCCAGAAAAGTGTTTTTACAGAACATCATGATCATCATTTGGATATAAAATTCAATTCAATTCAATTTTATTTATAAAGCCCAATATCACAAATCACAATTTGCCTCACAGGGCTTTACAGCATACGACATCCCTCTGTCCTTTGGACCCTCAGGGCGGATAAGGAAAAACTCCCCAACAAAACCCTTTAACGTTTCATCATTTTATCCTATTAGACATTTGTGTGGAATTTGATCATACATAGTGTAGCAGTTCTTGAATTGTGGCCAAAAACGTGTTTTGTGAGGTCACAGTGACCTTTGAGCACCAAAATCTAATCACGTCATTATTGAGTCAAAGTGAAGGTGGAAAAGTCTTAACTTAGAAAAATCATGGAGCAAGGAAGTAGAGAATTTTAACAAAGAAGGTGTTCTTGAGATATCGTGCTCACAAGGATGGGATGGAGGATGGACACCCCAAAAACAGAATGCCCCTGACCATGGCTGTCTCTGTCATGGAGTGGGCGACTGCAACTCTTGTTAACTAACAGCTAACTGAGGCTAAAGATTTCACTTTGTAGAAACTTGTTTTTATTGTTATTATTTTCGCTATCTGTAATTGTTGTCTTTTAAAAAGTATATAATCTTTTTTTTTTGGGGGGGGGGGCTTTTTGCCTTCAGTGACAGGACAGTTTGAAGTGTGAAGGGGTGATAGAGAGGGAAGGTCTAGCCTAGCCTCGCGTCACCAGGCCTGGTTTCTATTCACTTTGAATTTTGTCTAGATTCTGGTTCCGGTCTAGAGAGCGGATGCCGAATTCACCAAATTCACCAGAGTAAAAGTGTTCACCAAAGTAAAACTTTAAATTCTGGCGCACCATCGATTTGGGGTGATGAGGGGTGTAAGAAAATCGATTAACTTAATGGCTTGGGGCTTTTCTTGTAAATTATATTCTTTAAATTAAAGTTTCACCGCATTTTTATTAGCTTGGTGCTTTTATTTTGATGGAAAGGCGCATCCATCGAATTCCGGGTCCTGTCTCACTCGCCCTGGTTCCTGTTCCTTACCAAAATGGCCACTAACGGCCCCAGACTAGGTCTAGCCTGGAAATCCAGACCCAAATCTAGCTAATTCAAATTGTGCTCTCGCGAGAACTCTGGATTTCCAGGGTAGCAAAGGGCTTCAGGCTGGAATCAAACCCACGTCCACTGTGACAAGGACACTGCCTTTGTACATGGGGTGCCCGCTCTACCCACTGAGCTACTGGGCACCCCTCAAAGAGTATATTAAGTATACTTTTACACTCAAAACAAACTTTCTGAGTTCATTACTACAATTTTGGATTCTGGGTCCATATGACATGCACTCACAAATATGGCATGGTGTTGTCTCCATAGCAACAGCAGCTATTGTAGCATTTAGAGCCATTCAACATAGCAAGTGGACAAAAAAATGACAATTACTACTGCAGGTCACAACATAAACCTATAGTGTCATTAAATAATCCAGGAGACACTTTTGTTTCTGTGTTGACGAACATTAGTAATATTGTTAACTCATATCGCAGCGGTGATGTGATTTGTGATATTGGGCTTTATAAATAAAATTGAATTGAATTGAATTGAATTGTTAAAAAGATAAAACCATAATGGGAGTTGTCTGTACAGAGGTCAAAAGAAACTAATCAGTAACCAGCAGCTTCTCCCACTTTGCAAATCTATTTCTGTATATTGTTTTTACTTTTAGTTTTCTGCTACTATAAAGAAGATCATGCTATATTTGAACCTAAATGAGTTCTGCACTTTGACATGATATTGTGAAAGCTGACTTTCACTTTCAGCTGACATGTATGAGAGGACGGAGGATAGATACATATCAGAGTTGAAGAGACACACACACAAACATAAACACTATCTGAGATGAGCTCACTGCTCACACACATAGCTCAGTATGTCCTCCAGTCAAATGTCATTAAAATACAGTGGGGAGCCATGCAAATACACCATCATGCAAAAAGACACCTAACACACTTTTTTTAAACTCTGCTCGAGACGACTTGCATTACACAATGCTCCAATGAGTCCAGTTGAACACGTCTCCGGATTTCCTGAACCAATTCATTATAAAACAATAGAGAGAGCTAAGAAAGCCTATTAGAAGAAGTGACACAGATTTTGACCCTAATCTCTCTGTTATTAAGCTTTTCAATGGATTTTCCCTCAGTCAGGAACTAAAACACAAACTGAAACTGAGAGTGTTTTTAAGACACATTCAGTGTGTGAACAGCTGTAATCAAATGTGGAACATGAAGTAGGGTAACAAAAACGATCTGTCTTATTCCCTTTCTCCTGAGTCTCAGATAACATTGGGATCAATAAAAAAGTAAGACCTTAGACCTTCTGTACTTCTTGTTCTTCGCTGTTGTGGCCTCATAATCTGGATTTAAAGATCGTAACATCTCCAAAACTGTTTAACAACCACAGTGAGCTTCATTACATTCTCCCATAGAACTATAATGAGTATAATCTGCAAACAGGTGACAAACTAAAAAATAAAAGCTGGAGAAATTTATATTAATTCAATGTTTTCTTTTATTTATTTAGGCCTATTGTTCGTGTAACATTATTCTCTGTCTTTATCTTGTTCTTTTCCTCTTTTGCATTCTGTCTATATTTATTTACAGTCATCATTATCATTAGAATATTTATTGTGTTTTTTCATTTTCTCATTCCTGCTTCCTCCTGAACTCCTGTTCCCTGGGTGGAGTTCCCTGTGTCTTTGGTGATTTACAATTTTGTTTTGCGTTATCTAAATATACAACTGATGACTGAAGAAATACATAGAGGTGTCTGAACCCATTGTTTTCTATGCAAGGCCACACACAAGCAGTGTGACAGTGACAACACATGAAGGTACTCAAACTCCTCCAGCTCCATATTCTTCATTTATGTTTAAAACCCATCTATAATCACATCATTCTGATTGTCCATGCTGTAATTTTACTGTTGCTCTATTCTGTAGACACAGTATCTATTGTACGTCTGTCCATCCAGGAAGAAGCATTTAGAGTTTAAGGGTTTTTTTGGGGGAGGGTTGGCCAGATTACAATATGTGAAATACCTGGGGACCAGCTGCTTCTCACATCAAATGAGTTATCGAAAACAAACTCACAGACAAACGAGACAAACAACACTGTTTTATCTGTTTCATCAAGCGGCAGCCCTCACTCTCGACTTTACGCCTCTTTGCTGTGGCCATGTCTGCTACCTGTGAAGCATCTACTTGGTGCGTGTCTGCAAACTGTATGACAGTCCTGCCATTGTAAGGTGAACGGAAAAAATGCAAAGTGGTCATTCATTTTCCATAAGCATTTGTCTTGTAAGGAGATGCTGGAGCCTATCCCAGCTGACACTGGGTGAGAGGCAGGGTACACCCTGGACAGGTCGCCAGACTATCATAGGGCTGACACATAGAGACAGACAACCATTCGCGCTCACATTCACACCTATGGGCAATTTAGAGTCACCAGTTAACCTGCATGTCTTTGGACTGTGGGAGGAAGCACCAATTTACTCAATATTGTGCGGGGGGCCACATGTATTATATCTTGAAAATCAAGCTGTGAGCCTTGTAAAATCTGTCCGCTGGCCACGACTGGCCCCCGTGCCAGACTTTGGACATGCCTGGTCCAAGGACAGAGGGTGTCGTGTGCTGTGCAGAATCAAAAGCCCAGTGAGGCAAATTTGAGATTTGTCATATTGGGCTATAGAAATAAAACTGATTTGACTTGACTTCAGTGGGAAAAAGAACAGATATGACAAGTGAATAATGTTTCCTTACTTTTATAATGACATTAAAGTGCTCAGACCTTCACCAGGTAAAAATTCATTCATGAATAAAGTGAGGACAAGCGATTGACAGAGTGTGCTGGATGTTTTGGCTCTTTCCCATTCTGAGTTTATGATCCAGTGCTGCTCCCCGTCATCGACAGGGATCAACTCTCCTTAAAAGCAAAAATAATCATATCTACTCCTTTGATCAGCACAACCAGCAGCAACTGTTCCTTGACTACTTTTTTCTGTCTGTGTGCTGTGGTCATCAGCTGACTCACAGGAAATGACACAATGCCTCTCTGGGAAGCACTCTTCACCATCGTCATTAAAGCACCAAATAAGGAATAGCAGCTCTTATTAGACTCCAGAGACCTGGAGAATCTATAACAAGGAGCATCAAAGCTTGTCTGGAGGCTGATTAAGAGATGTTATACTGTTTTTTTACTTTATTTTTCACCCATTTATACATACTCCACTGAGCCTTATGAAAGCAGCTCTGTACTCATGTAGTGAAGCAGGCAGAAGACTTACTTCTTGAACTGCTTCAGGAAAATGCCCACATTCATCCCCCTCTTGGAGTCCAGGATGCTGATCTGAAAAAAAAGAAAAGAAAGAAGTGACACTGAATGAATATGAATGAATGAATGTGCTGTAGTTGTGGTTTAATACACAAGGAAACACATGTGTACCCACCCCCCTCCCTTCTCGTAACTACTCCTGCTTGTTGTTGCAGAACAACCCCCCACCACCACCCACAGTCACCCTATGGGACACTGAAATTCCACCGGGCCACACGTGGTTCACGCCCCCTTCATTAACAAAGGTTTGTACTCCCTTCCTTCAACAGGTGCCTGTACAGTGTGTACCTTTATAAAAAGGCTCCCTCACAAGACCTAATTAGAGCTTTGAAAGAGCAATTAGACACTTCTGGACAACGAGTACAGGTGAAGGAAGGGAGACAAGGAAAGGAACCGTTTAAATTAAAGTTTCTTTATCATACCTAAAAACATACCGTATGTAATAAAGTGCTGGGCAATATATGAATATTATATCATGGTATAAGACTAGATATCAGCTTAGTTCCTGGATATTGTACTAATCTAAATGTTTTCTTTTCCTGATTTTAAAGCTGTATTACAGTAAAGTGATGTCACTTACCAGACTGTTCTCGCCAATCTATTATTTGCCTTTACCTGCATAGTCATTATATAAACTTGCCATTCTCATCTCATTACACTCTGTGTCCATCTTTAGACTGACAATGCTTCCACTCTGACCACTTTTCGTGGGGAAATGGGATTCGATTTTCCTTAACCAGTCATGCGAGACCAATGTATTAAATATATTAACCTTTTAAATCTAACATCATTTTAAGTCCACACTGATGCGTAGCTACGCTATTTCTTCTGACAGGGTTTTAAGAGTGGAGAGGAGCAAAGTAAAAACAAACTACAATGTCAGACGATATTGAGAAGACATCTTTGCTGTCTGTATCACTCTGCATTGTTGCTAGTCCTTATCACTGGTTTCCTCGCACTGCTTGACAACAGCCTGACAATGACGTTAATCCCGCATGTAGTGCTGATTGGCTAATGTAGGCTCCCACGACGCTCATTAGTTTTTTATTTCAACTGAGAAACCGCTGTTTGATGTTACAGTGCCAGATGAACCATGTGGGAGAGTGAGTAGATTCAAAGGTCTGGACCCCAGGCAATATATCCACACTACTGATGATAATTTATCAGAAATCTGTATTGTGTAATTGTGTGACCATTTTGTTAAAGCACCAATAGTCAACCCTTCAATATCGCTGCAATATTCACATAACACTGTGACCTTTGATTTTCTCAATATCACCCAGTCCAAGCTGAAATGATTAGCGGACTGACAAAAAAATAAAATAAATCTGAAACAATATTGATAAATGATTAATTGTTTCAGTCATATTTTTTTATTTTTTAAAAAAAGGCAAATATTTTCTGGCTCAAACCCTTCAGTTTGCAGATTTGTGTTCAATATCATTAGAAGTTGAATATCTTTGGGTTTTGGACTGCTGGTCTTTGAGGACATCAACTTGGGCTCTGAGAATTTGTGATGAGCATTTGTCCCATTTCAAAGACTCGAGAAATACATAATCAACTGAAAGTGAAAACTGTTTGCAGCTGTCATATAATGAACACATGCCTTGATCTCCTGTTATTAAGATGATAATGTGAAGTTTGGGACACTACATTTCATATACAATATATAATACACCCAGAGTAGCAACTCGAGATACAATGTGCTTCTGTGTCTACACAATGACGGAATTATCTCAAACTCAAAGCTTTGCAAAGCCCTCTTTAAAAAGCACTCTTCACCACCATTATCAAAACACTAACAACAATGATGTATGGTTTGGGACAATATATTCAATACATGATATAACACACAAAGAGCAGCAACTAGAGATGCATTATTCTTCTTTGTGCAAAAATGGTGGCTAAAAACTCCCAAAGGAGAATTTAGTAACAACTTTTCCCTGCAAACTGCTCACTTTGAGGTTCACCCAGCTGCAGTCAGTTCATTGTAAGGACACAGAGGCGAGTAAGTCTGTGACATGAGTCTCCCTACGCCTCACGCAGGGATCGCTTTACAGTTCACATGCTACTTTCCAGGAGTCCATAATGACGCAAGCATGTTTTTGTTCTGTTTATGAACACAAATAATTTCTTAGGCTCAAAGAAAAGCTGTAACTGAGCGCTGTTACCTAATGCGTCCCTGCAGGGATATCTTAATACAGTGGGAGCAGGGTAGAGTTATGTGCTGTAGCATTGTATGGTTATGAAGCTGGGACTTTCTTACGCTGTCAGTGGTGTGTTCAGGACCTGAGGTAACCAGCATGTCTTGCACATGTTTGCAGAAACAATGGAAGTGGATGGAAGAGTTTGTAGGCATCAGGACTCCATGTTTCCACTAACGTAGCTTTGTCATTTGCTGAATTTGAATCAGTTGGTAGACCTTCATAAGAGAAGACGCAGGCTTGAATCCTAACTGTGACAGACAGTGTGCAAGATTTCTGGTTTCTTCTGAGTTTAAAAGAAGAAGAAACATGCAAGAAAAAAATATAAACCCCTAAATCTGTAAAACGCTTTCCTCAGCTTCAGCTCGTAAAAAAAGCTGCAAACAACACACTAAGAGCACTTTTGAACCTCATCATAATCTTCTCTAATAATCTTGTTGGTCTAAAGTAAATCCAGGGAATTATTTCCCAGACGTGGGCCACTTTAATTTTAAGAGGATTGTTGTGTAATCACTGTGTCAGCACTCTAACCTCCACCATCACCTGTCATCTCTGTTAACTGTCAAGAGAAAGGTCCCAGTGTTGCTGCTGTCAGTATTTCAACCACTCACCTCATCCTTGCTGCTCTCCTTGAAGGAGCGGGACCTGGAGATGCGAGCAGAGGTTCCAGCAGCTGGCGTGGCCCCACGTACGCCTGTCAGCGCCTCCTCCTGCTGCCCGAACAGCTCCTCCACAGAGCGAACATCGATCTGGTACTGCTGCTGCCGCACCGCCAGCGTCCAGATGTTGGGCTTCCCGCGTACCTTCTCCTCCGGTATTGGCTTCCAGAAGAAGCTGCGGACACGGCGCTTCTTCCTCGCGTTGTGGTTGGAGGATGTTGTCACCAAGGGGGGAGGTGGCGGGGGTGCCCCCGGAGGTGGGGGTGGCAGAGGCGGAGGTGGGGGAGCTTCATGCTTAGAGATATCAGGGGCGTCACTGAGGGAAGGTTGAGTGGTGTGACTGTGTCCAGACATAGAGGATGGGTCAGAGGTGGTGATGGAGGAAGTGGTGCAGCTGCTTCCCTCGCTGCTGCAGCTCTCCGGCTCATTGGTTGTAGATGGACAACTCATAACAAGCATCACAGGGATAAGCAGTCAGCATATGAGCTCTATGCTTAGAGAGTACACAGACTGAATATATCTGATCAGGAGTTCCTCCTTATTTAAAGTATCTCCAAAGGATTTTTTTTTAGGTGCAACAATTCTGAAGGAGATCAAAATGCTGCAGCGTGCATCCCCTCACTGCTGGAAGAAGGTAAGTGTCCCTTCATCTGGTCACAATGAAGGGAGCACGTCCTTTGATTCTGTCCATCTCCATCACTCAGCTGGTCATCCATCGTGCCGCGCAGAGCCTTTGAAGGTTACCTCCCAACGGGAGAGGGCGGGAGGCGGCAATGGCCATGGAGCTACGAGAGCAACAAAAACAACACAGGGCAGGATTATACAGGAGGCAGTCATGCGTGTTGTCAGGGACGATCTGAAATTAGGGGAAATTAAGGGGTGCGACAGATCAAAAGAGAAGGGGTACCCAGTCAAAGGGGCTCACAATGAGGGAAATGGCAAATCCGATTCTGAAGCACTTTGAAGTCGGGCTGCGGGGTGTGTAATGGTCAGAGACGTTACACCACAGCTTAGCTTCTGTTACACAGTTTGGTATCATTTTCATTCTTAAGAAGTTCTCATGAAGCGGGCCACTAGGAAAGATAAGTTACTGAAGGCTTAAACAAATTGTCTCATTTAATAATGTCATGTGTTATGCAGAAGTTCTCTACTGCTCAGGTGGACACATCAGTGGATTTAGCAGATAAATAACATTGATTTAGATAAATTCTCAATAAAATTGCTCTGTTCAATAATTGCTGGCTGTTGACTCTTCAGTGTTAATTAAATTAATTCAGTTTATTTTATTCCTAGCAGAGGCAGTGTAAGCAAGTGAAACAACAATTACTAAAACCCAACAGAGCAGATGTCAGAGGAACAGATAGGTGTGGCCAATCAGCATCCAGCACTGACTGTAGTTTTATGGAAAACAACCTGCAGCCTCTCATGTATTCAGATCAGCATCATCTGTTGCCATAGGGAAGAGCCTGTAGCGTAGCAACCCCATTAATAATACAACACAGTGCTCTAATAATAAAAAAAAAAAAAAAAAAAGTCAAGATTGGGCAACTTCTGTCAGACTGCTTTGCAAGGTCACCCTGGAAGACAGCGTAACAGCAGATCCAACGAGGCAACTAAGACATTTATGTCGTGATTCCAGGCCCACAAAGAGAAATCTGTGAACTGCTCTCTGCCTGGGAGGACATCACATTCACTCAAATACACAACTTCTAAAGGAAGAGCCTCTGCCTTCATCATCACCTCACCATCCTACCATGCTTCATCCTCCCCTCAGGCTGCAGATACAGACAACTACTCTGCAAGAAATCTCGCTTTGAGTTTGGTGCTCTCAGCCATCACTGCTTTAAATAAGCTGGGATCACCCTGATAGACTTGTGTTTTTGTAATGTGCTTTATCTGTTTATATCCTGTGTGTCACCTGTTGTGGGTGTTTGATTGTGCGGGCTGTGAAGCAAATCTCCTCCACGGAGGACAATAAAGAATGAATCTGAATCTGAGTCTTCAGTTGTGTTATAACACCTGCAAAACTAATCTGACAGCTCACTGTGAGGGGGGACACAGGCAGAGAAGACTGAGCCAGCAGAAGCCTCATGCAATGATAGCATACAACCATAATACCACAATACATCATATAGAGCTGCAGCAATTACTCGATTATCAATTAGTTGATTAATAGAAAAATTGCCAACTATTTGGGTTTTATTTTTTGAGCAAAATTACCGAATTTTCCTCAATCCCAGCCTCTCATTTGTGAGGATTAGACGCTCTTCTTTGCCTTATGTGACAGTATATTAGGTATCTTCAGATTTATGAGGCCTGTTTGGAGAAAATAAGAAATTTGTTAACATTTGGCTTCTGGCAATTGCTTTGAGCATCTTTTACTTCCACTTTTTCTAACATTTTATAGACCACATGATTAATCAGCAATGAAAACAGTTACAGCAATTGTTTATTACAATCCTAAAATTATAGTCTATCATAATCTTACAAAAACTAAAATTGGCATCAAAATTAAACTGAAATCACGCATTAAATACATTTAAAAACTAGCACAAATCCACCCTACACCTTAACGTGATATTGAGTTATGCTCCCTGGTTATATATTACACAAACAGTATATTAATATAAAGCACCTTGACCAGTAAAAGAGCACGACCTATCAGTTTATTTATTGTTGAGACACAAAGCTCTGTAGAGCTAAAACCACTTCACATATCTAGCGATTTTACTAATCGAACTCTTAAACACTTTTAGAAGATTAAAGGTCCAGTGTGTACATTTTAGTGCCATCTAGTGGAAAAGTTACAAATTGCAACCAAATTAAACTTCTTTGTGTTTCAAGCCTGTAGGAGAACTACAGCAGCTGATGCCAAACAACGAGCGGCCCTATCTAGAGCCAGTGTTTGGTTTGTCTGTTCTGGGCTACTGTAGAAACAACATGAACTTCGTGGAAGAAAACCTTCTTCATATGTAGATATAAACGGCTCAATCCAAAGTTACAAAACAACAATTCTTTCTGGTGATTTTACACTTAAGAAAACATTTCTGCCAATATATCCCGTAAGTCCTACACACTGGATCTTTAAATCTCTAAAAATTAGAGTCACTGAACAATCTTTTTTTCTCACTACTTCAGTTTGAAATAACGTTCATTCAAAAACACCAGAGCATGATGTATTTAACAAGTAACTCGTTTTTGATAATATAGTAAATGAGAATGGGAAAACCCAACCAGCCTCCAGTGTTACAGGCAAGGAGGAAAGGAAGTACTTCCCTCCTCTATCTCTCTTTGTCAAATCTACGGTTGCACTGTAGCTCTCAGCTGGAGGGAAACTGGTTCAGTTTCAGGACAACACATCACTCACTGCCACAGCTGACATGGCTACAGTGATCTGATACTCTTCTTGGCCTGAACAAAGAAATGAAAAGTGCTTCTGACAAAAAAAAGGAGATACATCAGAGGCATGATGATGATGATGATACTTTGCCCTGAAACCAAATTCTTTCCCTTAAAGTGCTGAAGGCAAACAAACAGCTTCAAGATCAGAAATAATACATCCTTGGTATCAAACATTATACCAGTGGCCACATCCTGCTCATGTATTGAATCAACTCTCAGCCTCTTACGCAACTAGTAACATCTTAGTGGTAACCTCCCATTAGTTAGCAGCCTTTTCCACCTGATACCCAGGGATTATGACTAATTAATAAAGCACACGTCACCAATGGCCTCATGTTGCCAACATCAGCCTGCATGCTCAGCTATCCCGTCCTTAGAGCTGGACCACACTGTCACTCATGTTTAATTCATAAGACTGTGAGAACATCTGACCTCACACTGAGTCATCTCCTTCTGTGGCGTTAAAACGTGGATGCACAAACAGACGGAGAAAACTCCGGAGCAAAATGAGTTAAACTGTTTGCTTCTTCTTTTAGCTTCTATCTCTCTTTATCCTTTCAAAGGAAATATATGCACATCCAACTCTCTCAGATGCAGGTGTGCTATAAAGTAAAAGTCTTGAGAAAAGAACATCCTGCACGCTGCTTTTGCTCAGCATCACAATTTACTAATAATACTAACATAACTAGCCATTTTTTACTGTCAGAAAGACCAAAGCTCTCCCTTACAGGCTTCAAGGTAAGCTAAGCCAACTGTCTCCTATAGCTTCATATTTGATATCTGGAAGCTAAATATGAAGCTACAACCAGTGACGTTGAACAATCTTAGCATCAAGACTGGGAATGGGGAAACTAGTAGGCTAACCTGGCTCTGTTAAACAGTACCAGCACCTCTAAAGCTCTTTAAAATCAACACATATTTTGCTTTGATTAATACAAAAAACTAAAGCATAATCATAATTTGTTGGTAGGTGGTTTATTTCTTAACCAGGCTAACTGTTTTTCCCAGCTTGCAGTCTTTCTGCTAAGCTAACCGTATCCCAGCTGTAGATTCATATTCAAACGAAATGTTGGACATTATGGGAAGTGGGTTTTCTTTGCAGAGAGTTGGACAAAAATATTGATACCACTCTCATATCTGACACTGAAAATACACCAAGCGGCAATAATTGCATTCTTCTGCAGCTGGGAGGCGTGCTCATGTGTGTCAGACAGGAAGAAATTCTTTCTAACATAGGGTCAACATGTCACAGGAGTCACAGCACTCTGTTACTGATTGGCTGCAAGTATTCTCTTGTCAAAATTCACCATTAAAAGTTAAACCAGGGGTGTCAAAGTCATTTTAATTCATGGGCCACATACAGCCTAATTTGATGTCAAGTGGTCCAGACCAGTAATACCACTGCATTATTACCTATAGTGGCAACACCTCCAAATTTTTCCCTCGCTTTTACTGTTAAAGAATACAATACTTTCTGAAAACGATCATTCATTTACAAAACAGATAATAAACAGATGTCTTTGAAAAATAAGTGCCTTTTCAACAATATCAGTTTTTCCATATTCAGTCTGTCTACTATTCACTGGCACTACATGTTCATTTTCCATACACTTCCACTCCTGTGTAGTAATCCTGGTATCACCACACCAAACTAAAGAGGAAGCTATTGAGGAAGCAGGTTAAGTCATCCCCTGCTTTACAAACCATTTACAAATCAAAAGTTTTGCAGTGTCTTAGCAATAGGGTTCCACCAATATTGATTTAAAATAGAAGTCTGATACAGATTCCTCAGCACCGTCACTCTCCAAAGATTATGCCGGGACGCGGAACCATATACAGTAGGCAGATCAGCGCAACTCCACGGAATGAAAACAAAGTTACACAAGCGTCTCCGAGTGATGAAGTATGGATGAAGACTTATTCCCCCCCAAAAAACAGATAAAGTCAGCCGTGTGGGATCATTTTGGCTATTGCAAAAATGACCAAGGGGTCATTGTTGACAACAGCATTCCATTTTTTAAAACATGCCGCAAAAAAGGCGCGGCCAAAGGATCAAACACGAGCAACATGATACAACACCTGCGGGACAATCACCCGGCTTTACATGTGCAAGTAAAGGTAAATGCACAATAACTGGGCAAAAAACCGTCAATCTCAATTTATCTAATGTAACATTGAATTAAAAATTATATGTTAGCGTGTCATTTGCAATTAATGGCGTAGTGGTATGATACGAGTTGGGCTTACAGTGCAACGTGACAAGCTAAGGCACGTCTCAAAAACTTTTTTGATGGATAGTTTCGCAGTTTGTGTGCACACAGCATGAGGTCAAATCCTTTTTTTAGTCATCTTACTGTTTCAGTGTCAGTGTGCAATGTGGAAG